GTTATTAATTAAAAAAATAATATAATAATAAATAAGATTAATACTTACATGTGTTACTTTTAAAATAATTAAAAAAAATTATTTTAAAATTATATCATTTTAATAAAATATTATAAAAAATATAAAAAATACTTTAATTCATACTTTACAAATATGATATTTTAATTTTTTTTAATATGTATTTATTAAAAATGATAAGTGCTTGTCTACTTTATCTTCAAAAAATTAAGAGAAAAAATAATAATAAAATATCTAAATTCATGCTTTAAAAATAAAACATTTTAATCTTTTTTAATAAGTATTTATTAAAATGACATAATTTTAAAATAATATTCTTTCTAATATTTAGGAGATGGCAGATAAATAGTATCCTTTTATTAAAAGATTTATAGTTTTGAAATAATATTTCTCTTAATTTTTAAAAAATAAGACGAATAAACAATATTCTTATAATAAATTCACGTGATATTATAAGTTAACTTAATTTTTTTATTTAGTACTTAGTTTATAGATTTTAAAGTTATTAACCCCCACATAAAAATTTAAATGTTGTAGTCCCTCAGCAATATAATTTAAGAAGTTTATTATTATTTAATAGATTTTAATGTCATAATGCTAGTCAAATGTTATTTTGATGTTAATCAATGACAGTCAGTATCTTTATCCTATGTGGTATTTCACTGTAATAATGCCACACTCTCATAATATATTTCTTTTCAAAGAACTTATTTAGAATCTTGATAAAAATAGACAATTTAATTTTAGTAGAGTAAGACCTATATTATATTGAAGGAGAAATTTTTGTTGATTAGCATAGTGAAAGTCTTGACTATATCTTTAATTAAGATGAAAATAATAATTCATTAACAATGTAAGATTAAAATCCGTTAAATAAAGGTGAATTCTCTCAAATCATATTATTATTGAGAGACTAATACCCTTAAATTTTTAAACGAAGCAAATAATTTTAAAAATCTATAAGTTAAAAGACTAATTATGATGTTTGGCCTTATAAACTTACAAGATGATGATATATGTTGTAACTCTTTTTATTTTAGGGTTCCTTTGTAATATCGTGTATTTTTGTTTATTTAATAATATGTCTCCCTTATTTAATGAAACATTATCATTATATATAACCTTACATAACATCATAAATATAACATTGACTTTGGGCCTCGAACACATTGAGGTTACACATGGTATATCAATTCCAATAGGAATTTTACGTATACAAAGAAAATGCAGAAGATTTAAAGCTAATACATAAATTTAATTTCCTTGAATACAATATATGAATACAAAGATACATCCCTAAAATCATATAGGATAGAGATTTGTCTCAATGTGCACAAACACAGGAACATGCTAATAATATGTGACAAAAACCTACTTTTAACCCTTCACCTTATTAAGTTTGAAGGTTTTAGTTTATTACTTTATATTAGAACATTTTTAATCCCTCACATTATTAGATTTATTGGTTTTAGCCCCACTTATTAAAATTGAAAAAAATAACCCTCACTTCTTTATACTGACTGTTAACTCTGTTAATTGAAAGTAGATTTTTATCAACTAACAATCAACTAATAGTTAGTTAACAGAATTAACGAAATATTATAAAATTAATTCTGTTAATTCTGTTAGTTAAAAAAAGATTTTTGTAAGTTAACAATTAACTAACAGTCAGTTAATATAGTTAACAGTCAACTAACAGAACTAATAAAATATTACAAAGTGAATGCTATTTTCTTCGATTTTAATAAGTGAGGAGTTAAAAGTGTCATAATATAAAGTGAGGAACTAAAACCTACAAATCTAATAAGGTAAGAGGCTAAAAATGTTATAATATAAAGTGAGGGGTTAAAATCTTCAAACTTGATAAGGTAAGGGGCTAAAGGTAGGTTTTTGCCATAATATGTTTGGTATGTTTGGTTTAAGTAAAGGGTACGGTCAAGCTAAAACCCATGGGAACTCAGTGATTGTTAACCTTTCTAGAAGAAGCTGGATATCGTTTAAAGGAGAAAGGAACATCAATATTATGATTCAGCACTTGTAAGAGTATGACCACTGGCATAAATTGCAGTTACCAAGTCGGATCATACGACAAGCAATGGCGTAATGTAAGATGAAACATAAAGAAGTGGTAAATGCATTTGGTAAGACACAAGTTTTGAACATAAAATATGGGATTTAATTGCTTAATAGCAAAGTCTAGTTGATTTAAAAGGAAATGGAGAGAGACAATCATCGGTTACATAAATGAGGTGTCGACCTGCAACAAAGACATGGCTGTTATGGCGAATATGAAATGATACCAACCACCATTTCATCAATCTGGAAGGACTGACTTCATTATCTATACCAGCTGCAACACTACCTGCAGAAAATTCAGGAAATAGGTAACTTGGTTTCAAGATGAAGGTTGGGTTGGTAGAAAAGAAACAGTCAAGAGTACCTAAAAGAGATCTGAAGACGATGACATCCTGCTCCTGGTGCTGCACATTATAATATGACACAAGAACATTTGTTCTGCTTTGGTTCATTTGCAGCTTTCTTTTCTGTTCATTAGAAAAAGAAATGAATTTTAATAGAAAAGAAAATTGAAGACGTGTTACAGCGAATAAACATTTTTAGTTGTGGAAAAGGCCAAAGCAAGTAGGTACTGGATAGCTGGAAATGTTTAGTTGGTCATATCATGGTACTTAACCATTCAGAAGAGGTGGGAAATGATCAAAATGCTTGACTTGAATTTTTCTGAGTCAGGAACAAAAATGACCTAACATATTTTCAATCCCAATTTCAAAGAATAGACCCATTTATTATATAGAACATGTAAGAAGTCATACTGACATTATCATTGTTCATGAGATCTTGATATTGGTAAAGTTTGTAATGTTAGAGATAACAATTATACCTTTCTCTGACGCTTGGTGTTGAACGACAACATGCATCGTTGTAACTCCACCAGGAATGTCACAAAGAGGGCTTCTGCAGTCCCCCAATGTTCTGCTGTTCTCCAAAATTTTTCCTGCACTAATTAACTTGACGTCTTTCACAGTCTTTGGACCATTCTCCTTTTCTGGCCAAATACAAAGAAAAATTATTAACAGGTCTAAATAATCCTTGATCATCACACATTTAAATGTTGATGAAAATAAACTTCAACGAAATAACTTTAGACACAAAGAACAGAATGAAAAAGTTACAAGCAGAAATCAGAGATCTAAGGTTAAACCCTTTTTCCCTGTCTGTGAGGCGTTAATTGAACTTTGACCAATGTATTTCACAATCAAAATTAAATTCAATCCTCTTCATACCATCTGACCTTTGCTTAGGAAAGACAAGCGGATAGAGCATATTAAAACCCAAAGATTCAAAATACAAATTTTCTTTCAGAATCACACAATATGAATCTTTCATCAAAGTCTCCAATAAGTGTTATCACTAACTGATAATCATTCAGAATCCCAATTGACAACAACCTATAACACTGGTAATAAGTCATTACTGTTCTCTAATTTTTCTTTGGCAACCATGTCTAAATGAAGTAGTAAAGATAGAAACACAAGTTCAGCATCATGGAATTCAATATGATGGTGGAAAAGATTTGTAAGTAACTCAGCTTTAAGGAATAAGTTTGTTCCTATATGACAAAAATACGAGGCAATAATTCATTTTCCTTCTACCGGTTCTCTCTTCGGCACATCCAACTACAAACAACAAACGCAAATAAGTTGCATAGTTTTCTAAACAGGAAATCTGGAATTATCCTCCAAGTTTTAGTTTCTATCCATATCCAGCCATCAAACAGTAACCAACAAAGCATCAAATGAAAAACAAATGATGGGGCAAAATAAAGCTGAAAGATTTATAACTCCAATGCATTTTGGAATTCAATCAAACACCTAACCAACCTTTAGGCCATTGAGCAAGAATGCTTTCCTTCAAAGTTGCAACACTTGTAGCAGCAGGAAAAGTTTTAGGACCTATATCAGACCCATCTGTCAGTCGAAACTTGATCTCTAACTGATCTTGCACCCCAGCCATCTCCAGAGACCTCAGAAGCTTCAAAAATCCAAATACACAAGATCTTCACTTGGGGCTTCTCCTAAACTGTCCACAAAACCTCAATTTGGCTTGCTATAAGATAGGAATAGTCCCGCTTAACTGGATTAGGTCCTTATAAAGATCAAAACTTCCCCCAGATTCTGACCAGGGTATTCTGCAAAATTGAGATACAGTCAGAGAAGCAAAATTAAATTCTTTGAGTCATGGGTATGTGACTGAAATATGCAGAAATCTAGAATTCAAAACAAGTTTATAGAAGGATACAAGTCTATGCATAGGGTATAGAGATTTGATTGTGATTTCCTAAAACAGAAATAGAACCCAGTTGCTTATTTCCAAAAATAGAGCATGAATCTTTTCTCAAAACAACAGAAGAAAGGGAAGAAACAAAGAATTGAATCAGTGACAGACAGAAACAACACAGTAAAATCACTAAAATCAATCACCAATCATCATCCAATCAAAACGCAACCAAATCTCCAAAGTATGGTTCTTCATCTTACAAAATCAGCCAAAATCCTCTAGTGGGTCATCAGGAAAATTTAAAAACCATCATGGGTTGGGTCTCAAACTGATCTGGGTTAGTTTCCTTTGTGACAGTTCTTGGCTCAAAACTCCAACTTGAAGAAGGAGAAGAGAATAGAAGAGAGTAGAGAGGTATCAAAAAGAAACACGAAAGAGAGGGGAAGAGATCAAATAAATCACCAGATACGAGGTTGTTTCGGAGTTTTCAAAATCTGTGGTCAATGCTTCCATCTTTCCCTTCTTCTAATCTCCTGAGGCAATGGAAATGGACAGATTTCCCTTTCATTTTTTCATAAAAGATAAAAAGAGTCACTTTTACTAACTTCCTAGTCCCAATATTCCAACTTACCAATGTGAACTAGACCAGCACCTAATTCCATGTCCTGTTCGTGTCTTAACTCGTGCATAAGACTAATTGCGAGCAAATACCATCAATCCATGTCTCAATTCTCAGAGATAGGGAAGATAATGTTAGTTAGGGATAGTTATGGAGGTTAAGTATGGTTTAATCCTTTATTAATTTGAAGACAATTGTACGAAGTATATATTAAAATAAACAATATAAATTTCAAAATCAACATTTATCTACTATAAATAATGTAAACCATTTAGTCTATTTAATTAAATTAAACACACACATTATCATTAATGTGTGGCCTTGACCACATCTTGAATTTGCCATCAACATAAATGTATCAAAAAGATTGATTTAATTTAATATATTTTCATTCGTTAAAACTACAACATTCTTGCACTTGGCGTTAGAGACCCAATAACACTAATCATTAAAAAGTGCATTTCCCTTTCTCTTGAGCGAGTTTCGAACCCGTTCTATATTAAAAAGTTCAAAAAAAAATACTACAACATTTAAAAAAATTATATAAATTCAATTAGCTATTCCATTTCTTTCTAATTACCCTCCCTCTTTTTTTCTTTTTTTCTTTTTTTTGTACATAGAAATTGGAGAGTTTAAACATTGTACATTTCATTTTTCATAATCCCAATCTCTTAATTGTAATTAAAATATAAGTAAAAGAAGATGGATAACTTTTATAGTTGATGAAAAAAAAAATGCACGGAACATATTATAACATGAGAGATAATGAAAGTATCCATTGTATTGTCTTAAGAATTGTCAAAATCAACAACCAATCTTAAACCATAATAAAAACAACCTATATTAAAGGAAATCCGCATCAAATTGTGTTGATCATGTGAAATGTGGACCCAATCATGGAACCAACTCAAGATGAAAATAACAAACACAATTCTTTTCATTTACATGATGCACATAAAAAATTTGTGTCATGTCCCTTTAGGAAGGTACGTAGTTGAGTTGTCTAAAAGAAACCTCAGATTCTTTCATTTCAATTTTGGAATAATCAATTATATAGTTTAAATAATTCAACTAATCACACCAATCCACTTCTTAATCATTCATTTAGTTAATTGACAACATGACAAATGCATAAGAATATTTCAACATTAGTGGGTTAAATAAGTCGATGATTAGGAATGTCTTGAGCACAAGAAATGTCCCCCTAGGAAAGATTGTCATTCTTGGTCAAATTAGACGTGGTTAATACGAGACAAAGGCAATTATTCTATGTAGGTTTTCTTGTCATGATCAACTATACAAGATTCTTCTACTAGGAAAATTATTTTAATATTGTTAGTTTTCTAAAGAAGAGCCGTAAAAAATTCTTCCACTAAGAAAATTATTGTAATATCATTAGTTTTC